AAGGGGGTGCTTCACCAATGCCCAGTACAGGGGCACGATCCCCTCCCTGCTCCTGCTGGCCACACCATTCCTGATCCAATCCAGGATGCCATTGGCCTTCTTGGCCACCTGGGCACACTGCTGGCTCATGGTCAGCCAGCTGTCGACCACCACCCCCAGGTCCTTTTCTCTTTCCTTTTCCAGCCACTCCTCCCCAAGCCTGTAGCATTGCATGGGGTTTGGAGGACATGCTCTCGGGAAACCCAAAAGCAAGCATCAAGAGTAGTCATCGCTTTTTTTGACACGACAAGAGATCATAACTGTTTTCTGGAGCAACAGATTGACTAGCTCTTCTCCAGATTAGGTAGCAGAAACTCACATCACCTGCAAAGTCAAGTGCAGTAATGTAATCTATCTACAGCCCAGAATGAAGCATCAACTACCCTTCACCTTCGACACACAGGAAATAGCCCCAACCCCAGAGGTGCCCTTGGGCCCACCCTAGCATGCCCCCGGTTACCTTCAGTACTGCAGAATCGACCAAACAGCCCTTGAAAGGGGGCAGAAAGCAAAGTGGCATGGAAGGCACTCCACAGGCATTGCCAACCGCACCCAATCCCCACAGGCCTCCAGTTATACTGTGCAAAAACAAGAGGCCACTTGGGGCTGTTGCTGCTGGAGGAAAGAGGACAGAAAGGAAAGAAGAGCATGGTCCTCAACTGCAGGGCTACTGCCTCAGCACAACGATCAGAGAACAGGGTCTCACAGAGCAGACGTCCCAATAATTCACAGAACAGACTGCAGCAAAGCACAGAAGCGGATGTTTCTCCAGAAGACTGGGGAACATTACAGGTTTGCTTTGAATCTAGAGAAGAAAGCCTCACCTGACACCGAAGTCACAGTGAAGGGTAAAGCAGTAGGAGGTGAATAAGGGAAACGTAACGTACTTCACACGTAACCTACTATTTCCTACCAAACATCTTGGCAGTAGAATAGTTCCAGAATAAACCTGCAGACTCCTGGGAAGATGTGACATCAAAACAAGCATCCAGCGTGCAATGACATGTGATTTGTTCAAGGTGAGAGAATAAAAAGAGCCTGCCTCTTGCTGAAGTTGTTACCAGAAGACACACAGGTCATCAGCATGCACATTTAATGTCCTTCCTGGTACAAGAACAGGCCACCTAGAAATGAGCTCTCAGAGAAGGATCTTCCAGGAAACAGGGATAAAGAAGCAGCACTAAAGCACTTCCTGAATTGCGGTGTATCTGCTGTACCAACCAGCTCTTTCAGAACGGGATACGGCAGCAGGGTTCGCACCTAAGTTACAGGCAGCGAAGGAGGGGCTTTGGTCCTGCAAGGGCACAACAGGAGTTCTTCTTACCTTCCAGGCCACCTCAGGGCAGTTATCTCCTTTTACTTGCCTGATCACAGAACGCTTTGGGGTGGAAGGGACCTTTAGAGGCCATCTCATCCACCCACCCTGCAGTGAGCAGGGACATCTTCCACTGGAGCAGGGTGCTCAGAGCCCCATCCAACCTGCCCTGGAAGGTTTCCAGGGATGGGGCCTCCACTACCTCTCTGGGAAACCTGTGCCCGGGTTTCACCACCCTCAGGGCAAAAAAATTCTTCCTTATACCCAGTCTAAATCTGCCCTCTTTTAGTTTAAAGCCATCACCCCTTATGCTATCACAACAGGCCTTGCTAAAAAGACTGTCCCCATCTTTCCTGCAGGCCCCTCCAGGCACTGCCAGGCTGCTCTGAGGTCTCGCCGCAGCCTTCTCGAGGCCGAACAACCCCGGCTCTCTCAGCCTTTCCTCACAATCTCTGGGTTTTGTCAAATAAAAGCTTCCGGATACGGTCACATCGCAGAACTGAGGTGCCAACGGAACACAGGCAGTCCTTCCACCAAGGACTGAACGCTGGCGATGGCCGGTACAAGCCGAGCAGCAACGCACCTCTCCAGCCCTGGCACAGGAGCCGACGCAGCCGAATCGCACCGCGGGCAAGACAGCCGCCTCCCGCACGGCACCCAGCGTCCCACGAAGGCAAACTTGTTACAAGAGTCACTCGCCTGGAAAGCCTTTGCCACAGCGGGACTCAGCCTCGCCGTACCACTGAGCAGCGGCCTGCATTTAAAACTGCCTTTTAAAACACAGTTCTCACATTATTAGGGGAACAAGACAAGACAGGAGAGCCCTGATCAATCACTAGCTTTATGAATACTTCTCCCTACCTGCAGAACAGCTTTACAAATCCTTTACACTCAGCAGGGAGTCATATGACGTTTAGTCACTCTGCATAAAATTACAGCATTATTTTTCTTAAGACATGTTCCCACATAGTTGGTAAGTTTACAGCAAGGTCTAGTACAAGTAGGCTCACAAATCTGCTCTAACAGCTAATCATGGTGAATATTAATGTTTCTTTCCCCAAATCAATGTAGTACTGGAAAGCATGTATCTGTAAGCCAGCTGGCACATGTTACTCATCAGCAACCAAAAAAGGGTACGAAGTAAATTAATTTATGGGTCTTCCCCTCTCATTATAGGTTAGTCTTCAGTTTAAACAAAACAAAACAAAACCAGCTAGCAAAAAGAAATGGCTTCCAAGCAAGATCTGTGAGCCATCCAGTCGTGTAAAGAGGCAAACAGACTCACTCTAGCTTGTCACTACAAAAAGAGACCCGCAAAGACATCAGACTTCACACTCAAGTACTGATCCATGGCCAAAGCAGCCAGAAAAACAAACAGCCAAGGAGCGAGCTTCTCTAAGAGCACCTCACAGCCTCAGCTCTACCACTTCTCAGCCTACGGCCCCATCATCATCTCCGCCCACAGTCCTCAAACAAGAGAATCCCCTGGAAGCACTGCAAACGCCTCAAATGGCAAAACAGCGGCCTAATGAACGCTGCTCCACATCAACAACCCTGAGCCAGCCACCCATCGGAGCAGGCTTCATCACAATAACCTTGTCAAAGGAAAGGATGAGAGGTAACGGCCTCAAGTTGTGTCAGGGAAGGTTCAGAATGGATATTAGGAAAAATTTCTTTACTGACAGAGTGGTCAGGCGTTGGAACGGGCTGCCCAGGGCGGTGGTGGAGTCACCCTCCCTGGATGGGTTCAAAAAAACGTGTCGATATGGTACTTGGGGACATGGTTTAGCAGGCACAGTGGTGTTGGGTTGACGGTTGGACTTCGTGATCTTAGAGGTCTTTTCTGACCTTAATGATTGTATGGTTCTATGAGATGGCTGCCCCCAGGAGCACACAGGTAATTCCTGATGGATAGAAGAGCCGACGTGATCCATCACCTTGATGGGCTGTCACAAAGAACGTGGAGACCCTCCCATAACAACAGCTGTTGCCAGGAGTTTGGTCAACACTCCAGAAACTGCAGACAGACCAAACAGCAGCACCCGTAACCAACAGCGATGCCAATCGTTCACAAACCAGAGGTAATGGTGGCAGACAGCACCAATGAGCGAAAGCCAGCGCGTGTAAGCTGAGATACACGAACCAGCCTCCTCCTTGAACACTGGCAAAGGCTCGCCAGGCTCCAACAAGACTTGAAACTGGAATACAAAATCCTCAGTTTGCACAAACTCCAGACGGTATCCCTTTCCCCTCATTACACTGCAGAACATTCTGGTCAGGTATTGGTAAAACCACCAGTGCCACTCACACAGCTCGTCGCGCCAGCATCCAGAGCACACGGGCGGCTCTTGGCAGCTCTTAGCACTGACGCTCCCCCACTCTCCATACTCAGATTTAGATGTCAGGAGACTCCTCAATGACAACAGCTGCTTTCTGCTAGCTGATCAGTGCTCCCCAAAGCCACCAGAACAGACTACCCAGGACGTGTTCAATGTTCACCTCTGCAGGTGGACACTGATGTCCCGTACAGAGCCATGCTGACACACTAGCAGACATCTGAAGATAATAGTCAAAATAGTCCTCCAGGTTTTGAAAACATGAAGAGACAGCAAGCTTGCAGACACACAAGCAACTCCCTTTCACTAATGAGGGCCTCACATTACTTGAAGAAGGGCTGAAGATCTGGGATTTTGCCATTCAGTTTCACTTCAGTATGGAAACACGGAATTCAGTTCCATAAACACACGCGATGATCACGCCGCTGCCTGACTTACCATCTATCTCTTGTCCGATGGAAAGTCCAGCCCATTTTCTCTGTAAAAACAACAAAATATCTCTGTAAAAACTCCGTGGAAACAACAAAACCATTTTCTCTGACAAACAGTTTAGAAAGCCTGTCCTTCAGTGGAACAAACGCCCGCTCAGAGTCAGCAGCCTCCCTCGGGAAAGCAGGCTCCCCCATAACAACCTGGAAGCAGCAACACCAGGGCACAGCAGGATCTTACAAAGACCCCCAAGCTAGCAGGAAAGAAGTCAAAAACATGGAATCATTTCTACTAATAATTCTGGTTTCTGGCCTCAGGAGGTTGCTGTGTCCCACCTGTTGGTTACTGGTTTGTGTCACTGGTGTCCCCACCATCTCGGAGGCAGAAGTTCTCGTACTGGAGAGGGCTTTTTGTCATTCTGCTCATTTTCTACCAAAGCTCAGGTGCCGACCACACAAGAGGCAGTGCACCAGGCAACAAAGGCTGCTATACACTCCACCACCATTTTAAAAGCTTACATGTATATATTATTTGCAGGAAATAGTTGTAATGTGCTTTAAGTTAAAAAATTACCTAAATCAAAATTTGTTCAGACAACTAGTAAGAATGGAATCGTTCAAATCCCTTAGGTCCCTTCAAATTTCTCTAAAAAGATTTGTGCAGCACAGAACTGCATGAGAAGTGAGAAATGGCTCAATAATTATATGACACGAAAACCTATGACCTTTACTATGCCAAAAGTTCTGGCTTGATAATTGCAAAAATAGTATTTTTCCACCAGCCCTTGTGTTACAGATTGGCCAGTGTGTATTTACAGTCCACAACTCAGGCTGTGCAGTGGTCACAGCCTCTCAAACATCTAAGCCTCAGAGAGGCAGGAATCACAGGAATATCTAAGTATCATTACACAAGGCTCTGGTAAGGCTGCACTCGAAACGCTGTACTTCACGGTCGTTTCTGTTTGGCTTTTTATCTGGAAGGAACAAATCTGGTAGGAATACAATGACCTTTCACAAAAAATTAAAACTTCCCTCTCTACACCCTGTCCAATATGTCCACGGTTCAAACTTCAGGAAAGAATTCCCTTGGAAGAAGAAAGATCAACCTGTTAGCAACCAAAGCCCAGAGCAGGAAGCCTTACGTGTACTTACTGGTATTCCCCAGAAGGTGAAAACAAATTATGTTTCCATATTTAATCTCACGTTTCACAGCCTTTACTGTTTACCTGCAAGGCCAAGAAGAATTCTGCCCCCGCCCTGACACTCCAATTCTTCGGCAAAAGATATCCTAAACTCCCCTTCACCTGAAGTACCAGGCACTGGTGACACCAGTGCCAGAACGGTGGGCAGCACACTGGTACTCCTGCACACACTGGGCTTTGCTTAAGCCCTCCAGGTTAAGCCTCTCAGCAAATTTCAGGGGAGGAAGGAAAGCTGTCCCACTTCTGCTAGGAAGATCAGTCGGGATCTTCTCTGTGGCAAGAGATACAGCTCGATTCCTGCGTTCGTCTGGGTGGTTTCTGCTAAGCAGTCTGTCATCACCGCCAGGCATTTCATCGTTTGGGCTCTGCAGTCTGCAACATTTTTCACGGCTTTTGGTATTTAGGCCTAAGAGTTAAGATTATTACAGAATAAAGGTGGTCGAGAACTTTACATGTGTAATGAATGCTCAACAAGACCTTCTTGGAGGTCTCAGAGCTTAAGCGCACATTGCATGACCTCCATGAGTACATGAGGTAAACACACATCTTGTGTAACCCTGTTCACAATTATCCAAGGCTTCAGGAAATACTGGAAATTAAATCCTAACGCCAGCAATACTCCAGCAAAACATTCCCACTCCAGCAGCTGTAACACTTGCTACCACAGTCACTTTTCAGGGGTAAGCAATCTACCTCGTCCCTTGGCAGAGGAGCTCTCCCGGCCCTGCAGATAACTCCTGGAATGTACCAAAATCAACCCTAGGCCACGGACGCATCTGCTTTAACCCCGCGATACAAATATCTTCTACTGATAACTGCTTTTCAGTTTGGGATCGTAAATCCTACTGGACACATTGTTAACATAACATCCTCTTCACCCACTCATCCGGACAAATCTGAATTTGAACAAGACATCAAAAAGCAAAACGAAGTTTTGGGGCCTATGCCAAGTCATCTGCTGATGAAAAAAATTGTGTGTGAAGCATGGAGACTCAACTTGCAGGCCAGTTACTAGCAGGAAAATATGACAGCATTAAACCAGTGACCACGGCTGTTGCAGTTTTATGCTATGCGACTCACTAGGTAAGCCAGTTAAAGGCTACAAGATTAATTCTTCTATTTAGAAGTTAATTGTATCAAGTCTTTATTCTAACCATCATTTAACATGTTATAACTCGACTTAATTAAGAAAGCAGAGACAAGCTAAATCTATTTTATGCACTACATTGCCCTTCTCATCTAGAAACACTAACAGTGACTGAATACAGTCAATAAAACTTCGTGCAGGTCTTTAAAAGAGCAACACAGCAAAGAAAACTCTTTAAAGTCACGGGAAACGAGGGAACAATAAAAATGCATAACAAACAGCAGACATTGCTTAGGCTTTTCTTTCTGAAATAGTCTGATTCAGGTGGTCTTTTTAAAAGGTTGAATCACACCTTTTCTAGTATTTTTATCCCACCATGCAGTAAAAATAGAACAAAGTAATATAGGCAAGTTTGCTTCAGCTATAGTAAAAGTCTCCTTGAATTTTTGCTGTCAGAAATCAAATTTCTAGCACATATTTATGCAGACATCTCCCTCCAATTAGACTAGTTATCTTCAATCCTGATCTCAAAAGAGATTTTGCTTATTCTCTAGCAAAACAGTAAGTCAAACCATACAGTACCTGGGGCAAGCTGAACGCGATGCTGCCAGGAACAACGGAGGAATGGGTTCTCAGCGTGAAAATGTATTTGTGGTTGGGAGAAGTCTTCACAACAACATGTCTAGAAGAGAAAACAAACAGTATTTTCCTCCATTATACACTCAGGAGGATTCTGCATTGCTCCCAGCACTGTGAGATTTCAAAAGAAACGAGCCAGTTCGTATCTGGTCCTATAATGGCAAAAACAAAGGTTTTAGAGCTATTCCGTGACGCAGGCACACAGCAGTCATTCACGGGCGTCCGTCACCGCCAGTGACACAACGTGACCTCAGAGCCCACTGCAAGGCACTCTGCTAACAGCTACTACTTACCTTCCGCCACCGCTGGCCTTTACTTCAGGAACTGCACTACACAAACGCGAGAACACCAAACTAGCACCACAACAACCAAGGCTGCTGTACCTAAAAACCAACACTGGTTTCACATCTCCACATCTAACACCAAAGCATCAGTATTTTACCCCAGCACAAGCAGCACACCCCAGCTGTGATTTCAACAAGAAACAGATGCACGGCCTACACAAGGATCTTAGTATATTGTTTAGAAGTTTGATCGCAGAAAAAAATGGAAGGAATTTCTGTACAAAAAGTAAAATCACATAGGCACTGAGGCTGTCCCTCCTGTTTGCCTGTGGCCAAGTGGCCTTGGACTCATTCCGCCCGTGAAGACCAGGAACAGTGCTGTAAGAACAGAGCAATGCACAGAGTCAGGAGCAACGGGATCCTGGGGTGCATCAAGAAGAGTGTGGCCAGCAGGACGAGGGAG